TGGAATGTTCACCTTTTAAGATAACAAATTAATAAAACATTGTTTTGACAGCGCGTGGCGCGTGTGGAAGAAGATGGAATGTTCACCTTTTAAGACAACAAATTAATAACAACATTGTTTTGACAGCGCATGGCGCGTGTGGAAGAAGATGGAATGTTTACCTTTTAAGATAACAAATTAATAACAACATTACATGACATTATTTTGTCAGCGCGTGGCGCGTGTGGAAGAAGATGGTGATGCAAAGCTGCCCGGAGTCTCAGGGCTCTGGCCTGCAGAGTAACGCTGAGCACACTAAGCTCTACCACTCCGACGTGATCACGCTCTTGCCGGAGGTGAAGGTGGGTCATAGCACAAAGTGGGTCAGCAGCGATCTCCGATAGTTTATTCCAAATTCCAAACAAATCAGAGTTTATTTCAATGCTTGGGACTCGCACGATCTTAGTAATTGGAAAAAGGCCAAAATTTGTTATTTTTTTTATTTTTATGTTCAAGGAAAGAACATTTCAGGGATAGCGCCTTTCAAGGTGTCAATATATTTTTTGATGTTGTCTACATGTGATGACGTCACGTTTGTCGCTTCCACATGGTATCATGTGTTACATGGTAGCAGCTTATAATCTATTAATATCACCGCATTGATATTAATTGATGACCATGACTCAGCACAATCCGTTCCAAGAAGACATCATCCGCTGCTTCTCAAAGTGCGGCTCGGACGGCCGGCGCTACTTCGGCTTCGACCAGTTCCTGGACCTGCTCCACGTGATGAGTCCTAGGGCGCCGCAGGATGTCAAGGCTCACTACGCCTTCAAACTTTATGGTGAATGCCGGGTGATAAATTTAAATTATAATGATGATATGTCTGGTGATTACCGCCTGATTAAATTTAAATAATAATGATAACACTACCAGTGAATGACGGGAGATAAATTTAAATTATAATGATAATATGTCTGGTGAATGCCGGGTGATAAATTTAAATAATAACGATAACACGACTAGTGAATGACGGGCGATAAATTTAAATTATAATGATAATACGTCATTCGGAGTGCACAATACGACTTCATACTCTATGATGAGTGCAGTGCAAGTGTATAAATTTTAATGGTGATTTGTCAAAAGTGTTGAAACCTCCACTATATATTCCAAAGTTGCAACAGTTTATGATTCTATCGCCAATTTGTCACAGAATATAGCAGCTGCTGCTTCCAATAGTTGAAAATTGGATTGCTAATTTGTCAGCATCTAGCAGTTACTGTTTGCAACAGTTGACAATTGGATCGCTAATTTGTCACAGAATGTAGCAGTTACTGCTTGCACCAGTGGATAATTGGATCTCTAATTTGTCCCATAATCTATCAAATGTTTGCTTGCACCAGTTGATAGTTAGATCGCCAGTTTATCACCCAGCAAAGCAAATGTTCGCTTGCACCAGCTGATAGTTAGATCGCCAGTTTGTCACCTAATAAAGCCAATGTTCGCTTGCACCAGCTGATAGTTAGATCGCCAGTTTGTCACCTAATAAAGCAAATGTTCGCTTGCACCAGTTGATAGTTAGATCGCCAGTTTGTCACCTAATAAAGCAAATGTTCGCTTGTACCAGTTGATAGTTAGANCAGACGCCGACGAGGACGGGAGGCTGAGCATGGACGACCTGGACCTGGTGATCCGCAAGCTCACGGGCTCTGCGGACGAGGTCGACACCGACAAGGAGGAGACCGCGCACCTCTCCAGCGCCGACCGTCGGGAGCTCCTCGAGAAGGTGAGGCACATATCTGCGTCATGTATACACGTATAAAGCAAATAGCTTTATACGTTATTATTTATATTTATACTTTATTATACTCTTGTATAAAGCGTCTGCATGCTTCACATGTCTGTATAACATGTCATGTCTGCGTTACATATATGCGTCATATATATGCGTCACATGCTTCACGTGTCATGTCCGCGTTACATGTCTGCGTCACATGTTGGCGTCACATGTTGGCATCACATGTCTGCATCACATGTCTGCATCACATAACAGCGTCACATGTCTGCATCACATGTCTGCATCACATAAC